CCCTGTGCAGAGATGGCTGGCAGAAATTCCCTTGGACAGCCTCGGCGAGACAAGAATGAACGGGTTCCCGTAGGAAGGCGAACTGGTTTCACTGCAATTCTGCCTATGTGCTCTATCTTTGCCTTGGCAAAGACTATTTTGAAGGACCAGGGGGGCCCGTTAGCACCCCTGCTTATAGCGTGATGCTTTTTTACAGGAGCGACTAAACCATGGCTGAGACATGCCTCCGATGGGCACCGCAGAGGAAGGAATAAAAATTTCCATACTCTGAAGTACCACATCAGCGACAAAATTAGCAATAACGTTGAGATCGTCCGGCGAGAAGCAAACCCGTGAAACGCGAACGGCACCATTAGGCGTGGTGGTCTCTGTGGATGGGATCTGCTGTAGCAAGGAATCTGTATCTGTAGCCATCTCGACCAGAGATGGGCTGAGTGATGATTTTCTGTATCAATGACTGCATGACAATGACAAAAAAATATCGGTGACGGGAACAATGACAAAATCATCAATGATTTTTATCTGAGTATTAGATTTCGTCACTTGAATTGTGACTAGATACTGAAATGACCGCGGAACGGCTTAGCGAAATTATCATTAGTTATTTATGGTCGCGTAAGTACGCACCTACACAACAAACAAGTAATATTCCAATCTTACCTTCATGCTTTTTTCAGGCTTAGGACTGGCAAAGACTGGCAAAGTAATAGTACTTAGTAGGTACTTACCTAATAAAAAAAACTATCATTCTGCTTTTCTTTGGCGCATTTAAAAGATTGGTATATTTACAATGATCAATTATCAATAATATTTGTTATTTAAGTAATTTATTTATTTATTTAACACCAACAAGACATACACTAACAAAAGCATAATATTTTTGCAAAAAAATCATAAAAACTAAGTGTAGACTTAATTATAGGTGTTACACACATTTCATTACAAAAAAATAGACACAAGTAAACATATGCAGTGAATTAAATTGAATACAAAAATTAAGAGATCAATAAATATATCATAATTTAGTGTTAATAATTAATTAAATTAAATCATGCGTATTCCACTATTGTTATTAACATTAGAAATTTTATGAACGTTAAACATAACAAAAATAAAATCATTAATAAATTATAATATACAATCTTTACCTAATCACAATTTAGCTTAAAGAAAAATAATATAATTTTACTGTGAATTACAATTATTTGAGGAATATAAATGTAATAAATCACGTTTAAATTTCCAAAGATTATCTGAAAATATGTCAATATCAACTTTTCTATCTTTATGTTTATTATCAGTAGTCATTATGGCACCAATACTATTCTTATGTGATAATTTGTATATAGCATTAAAACTCAACATCAATGTATTAATCGGAGAATAGCGCGCTTGACGAGAACGTGTGCTCTTTTCTACGAATGGTATATAAGACGACGGCCTTTTTGAATTCAATGGGGTACGAAAATTTAATTTGGCTAGTAAGTAAGAACTATCAATGTCGCCATTCACCAACTTATACAAGAAAATAAGGTCAAGGAGCTGTCTTCGATTCGAAAGTGGCTGTAGCTTAAAGTAATTTAGCTTATCTTTACATAAGTTCTAAGAGTTTTAACTAGGTTATGATCGTAAGATAAATGAAAAAGAAATCTCTTTTGTATCCTTTCAATTCTATGTGAGTAAATATTAAAGTGGGGATTCCATACTACGCTGCAGTATTCCAAGATACTTCGTACCAAGGCTGAGTAAATAATTAATTTAGGGCGAATATCCCTGAATTGCTTACAGTTACGGAAGAGGAAGCCAAGAGTCCTAAAACCCTTGTTGACAACATTATCTATGTGGATATTATAACGAAGCTTATTGTCAAGCATAACTCCTAAATCGCGTATGTGAGGAACTTCAGACAGAATACGACCATCAATGTAATATGTTGTTGCAAGAGATGTTTTCTTTCTAGAAAATTTTATAACATGACACTTGTCAGCATTTAGTGTCATACCGTTGCTACGACACCATAATGTCAAGTTATTTAAGTCTTCCTGTAAGAATTCTGCATCAGAATTTGAGGAGACACGTCCAAAGATCTTTAGATCGTCAGCAAACAAATAAGATTTCGAATTCTTAAAGCAATTACTGATGTCGTTGATGAAAATGTTAAACAACAAAGGCCCAAGATGAGATCCTTGAGGTACGCCAGTATAGGCAAAAAAACGGCTCAGAAGCATCACCATCAACAACAACAGTTGACGACCGATTGGCAAGATATGACTTAAACCAGTCCAACAAAGGGTTTGCTATACCTATCCTTTTGAGTTTGACAAGTAAAATAGAGTGATCAACTTTGTCAAAGGCCTTACTGAAATCTGTGTAGATTGCATTAATGGATTGGCCAGTATCAAGAGATTCAGTAATGTCTTCCACAAAGGAAACTAGGTTAGTTACTGTTGATCGAGCTTTCACAAACCCATGCTGTTCAGATGTAACAAATTGCTTAAAGTGCCATGAAACAACGGGACATATAAGTTTCTCAAACACTTTTGAAAAAACACAAATAATTGAAAAAGGTCTATAATTTTTAGCTTCCTCCTTGTCTCCGGTTTTGAACAAAGGCAACACAAGGGCTTCTTTCCATAAGGTTGGATATGTACTAGTCCTAAGAGATCTATTGATTATCAGTGCAATAGGCAAAGCCAATGCGTTAGCGCAATTGCGTACAAATATTGATGGAATGCCATCTGCTCCAGCTCCTTTCCTAATGTCAAGTCTTTTTAAAACATTGTAAACCTGGTCCACTGTATAATATATATAATCAAGGTACACATTGCAACAAGGGTTCATAAGATTAGGACTAGTATCGAAGTTTTGGATATTATTATTGCGACTGTATACTGACGAAAAATGACAAATGTCTGTTCCATTGGAAACAAATTTATTATCGTCTTTAATTTAAGAAGGATACGAACTTTTAACTTTCTTTTGTTTTAGGAATGACCAAATCAACTTTGAGTTTGACTTTAAAGAGAGTTCAAGGCATACTATATACTTAGCGTAGGAGTATGCTAGCATCTCCTCACATCTTCTTTTCAGTAAGTCAAAACAGAGTTTATCGCGAGGATTGTTATATTTGCGAACTTTCATCCTATATTTATATTTTTCTTTAATACATTTTATCAGACACGGAGTAAACCAAACTGGGTATTTATGACTACGCGGTTTAGCCTTAGGTACATATTTCCGTATTAACTTACGAATTATGTCATAAAATACTGCAACCACATCATTAACACAAAGACATTCACCCAAAATTTCCCTCCAATCAATTTCATTTAGATCCTTCCTTACATTGTCATAATCAGCCTTGTGGAAGCAAAATTTTGTAATTGTGTTATTAGGGACTAGTGGTGCCGGATCTGTAAAATCTATCGAAAAAACTAATAGCGGATGAAGGGGATCAACACATGTCAAACGATCAGGACATGACAGAATATCAACAATGATAGTATTAGATAAGACAAGATCAAGCATTTTATTTTTAGAGTTCTTAATTAGATTAAATTGGTTCAATTCATTGCACGGGAGAAAGTCTGTTAAGAGATTCTGTAGATAGCTGTTGGAGTATTTTGCACAAAGATGCCCGTGGGGATCTAAAGATCATGTTATACTACTTAGATTAAAATCTCCAGCAACAATTATATTTTCATCGAGTGAATCCAATACTCGACTCGAGTTATTAATAAAATTCTCAAAAATGTGTTTTTGGACGGGTGGGGGAATATACACAGCACATATATAAAGTCTTTCAGACTTGCCTTGGACGTTTTCTACTTCTACGCAAACCCAAAGATCCTCGCACTTGGACTCGAAACTAAAAAGCCGCTCCGAATTTATTTGCTTAGATACAGCTATAAGTACACCCCCGCCATTCTTTGAAGCGTGAAAACCACTACTCTCCCGTTCACGTCTATAAACATTATAACGATCATCAAAAATTTCGGAATCGAAAACACTCCCATTTAACCACGTTTCCGTCATAATTACAATATCGTAAGAATTACAGACTATGTTATTAAATAGATCAATTGTTTTTGATCTTAGACCACGGACATTTTGGTAGTAAATAGAAATTTTATTCTGTAAAGTGCCTTTATGTAATAAAAAATAACCAGTTTAGCGAAATTAGCGACACTCTTTGACAAATTATTCACAGTATCATGATTTCGAATATGAATGTAGTTTGATCCTTCACATTTTCTGACAAAAATCTTTCCATCACGAACCCAAACAAAACGGAAACCGAGCTCTTTCGCCTTACGGCGAGCTGCAGCATGCAAGATTTTTCCCTCTGGCGTAAGATTTTCAGCAACGTATATTGGAGTATTCTTCGCGCTTGCGATTCCCAAATGGCTAGTGTTAAGCTTATCCGTACTATTTTTTTTATTATATTTGATGGTAGCTGCTAAAAATTCGTCACGTAGTCTTGGACTACTGAACTTTACTAATATCGATCTCGGTCGAGGGCTTTTAGTACTTATTCATTTTCGCTAGTCTTGCACAAAAATGTATATTTTCTGGGGCTATAGGGCATTTTATGATATTTCTTAGTTGTACTGTGTTAACTAACTTCTCTTGTCTATTCTCTGGAACACATTGGATCTCAATATTTGAAGCTCGTGTCTGCTGTTCAAGTTGCGTAAGACGAGTTATGATACACCGGGCATGTTCCAGCCTGCAGATATTAAAATTTCAAAATAAAAAAATCTCGTTTTATAGATCTCAATAAGCCCTTTCGACTAATCATTTTTCAAAGAGATATGGCTATTTTAAGTAGAGGAAAATTGAAAATTATATTTCTATTTTTCCTGGGAAAACGAAAAACGGGCTTATAAATTAATTAACGTAGGTCGAAAGGGCTTATTGAGATCTATAAAACGAGATATTTTTTATTTTGAAATTGTAATATCTGTAGGCTGGAACGTGCCCGGTTTATGATACTCTTGCTAGCTGCACGCAGTTTCGTTCTCCTTAGTAATGTGTTGCATTTGTGCAGATTGGTTAGCATGATCGGATTCAATTTTATCTATATCTTGGTTTAACGACGACAAAGAAGTTTCAAATGAGGCAAGTGTATTTTTTATTTCGTGAATTTTAGGATGTAAATCGTTACTAAAAATGTTGCGCAATTCCTCTCTAATTATTTCACGTATATTACTAGCCGATAAACAAGAGCAATTAGAACGACTTTTTACACGTTGAGTTACGAATTCCATTTCCACCGGTGAGTTTCGAACTGGAGTGTTCCATAAACTCTTCATTTCCGAACTCATCACGTTAAAATCTTGCATTGTGATTCGCGTGCATGCTACATGATATTTGTCATTGCATCGGTGACATTGCAATGACATGGAGTTATCCAGTGCGTTAGGGCACCCAGCACATTCAAAGTTAGCCATGATTTAATGATACAAATTGTCTACAAAAAAAACTATATAAACCAAAAAATTTTTTTAGTTTTGGATTTGATCCCACGACCCTCAGCGTATTACCACTTGCTCTGTCGCTGCGCTACAGTCTATGTTATGTTAGGTGGCGAAATTAGACACTAATATTTACGCTAGCGACGATCTGTAGTAAATGAGGTCAACGAACTAATGTTTTTTATATGTGAAGTACAACAGCACTTGCACGCTCCAATTACTAAACAAGGTTAACAAACGACCGTTTAACACATAATTTTTAAAAGTTTTTTCTAATATCTTCAGACAGAGAACACTGATTGAACTAGAATTTCACACATTGTATACTACACGATAAGAAGAAAATTAATGCTTAATAACTAAGAATTTTGCTTGAAACGAATTAATAACTATAAAAACAGAATTACAGGTGTCTATTACTCGACGCTCGGACGAAAGCTCCGAGTGCTAATTTTTTTTTGTTTTTTGTATTTTTTGTTGGTTTTTTTTTTCTGTAGAAATATTTACATTTTCTTGCACGTTGTACCGAATTATTGGCTACAATTGAAGTTTAAAAACATTAGTTGTTTAACTTTTGCAATTCCTAGACGAGTGAGTCTTTCAGTTACCATGGTATCAGTTCGTGAAAATACCCTTTCACAAGGCACTGATGTTGCTATCACACAACATTTATTCAGAAATAATTTTGCCAATGATTAAAACTACTTTTACGGATTTTATCGCGTTTATTTTTACTTTTTATTTACTTTTATTTTTAATTCCCGACGTTTCGGGCGCTTTCCAGCACCCATGGTCACGGGGGACTGAGATGACTGACGTCCCGATGTCATTGTTAAACCCGGAGTACCTCGGGAATTAAAAAATAAAAGTAAATAAAAAGTAAAAATAAACGCGATAAAATCCGTAAAAGTAGTTTTAATCATGTATAGTGTTCGCGTAAATATAAGAAATCATTATAATTTTGCCAAATTTGGGTAAACATGCTCATGATTTTCCACCATTGAAGTGGAGTGTCATGTTCTGATTAGGGATGATCGATGTTACAGAAACATCGATGATGACATCGATGTTGATATCGATAACTTAACATCGATGTTCGATTTTTATCCTACTCAAAACATCGATGTTGGCCATTATCGATGTTATAGCACATGTACCTATTTAGTAGGTAAAAATTAGATGTAAAAAATTTGTAGTGTTGTTTATGGTTTATTATTTATGAAATTAAAAAAAATAATAAGACATTCAGTGTGAAACAATGATTTAAAAAATGGGAGAAACTTAACAAATATTTAGTTAATTTGTTATATTTTTTGCCAATAATGATGAATATTATTATTTTGATATTTAAATGTTCCTGTACAATTACAAATCTGGTACTAAAATATTTACTATCCTAATTTACGATTTAGACATAGATTTTATATTAACTAATCCTATCGCGAAATAAACAATGATTATAGAGGAAAAATTAACAAACTTCACAAAAACAAAATAATAGACTTTTCCTTCACCTTTGTTCACACAATTTTTAATCAGGCAGCCCAGGCAGTAAGTATCTACAGCCGTTTATAAAATGCACTGTAGAATGCACTTTGCAGTGAAATTGTCTATGCTCACGATTGCCCAGTGATTTATTCTGATAAACTTCAAGCAAACCATAAACTTGTTATCCCAAGCTCAAAAAAACAGCTAAATATAATTATATTGTGTTGATACATATTGTTTCAAAATTATGTGTGTATAGACAGCAAGGAAAAAAAAATAATTAATTTGAATATTAATTTATGTAGAATAGTTATTAGGCAACAGCCGATAACAACACCACAATAACAAAGCGAAATCAGTTACAACAGTGACATTACAGTTAACACTCGACGGGGAGTTTGACACAACATAATGATAGTTTTTTAGGCGATCGATGCATTTAGGAATCCTTAATTATTCAAAATTTTAAACCTTTAATAAGAGATGAAATATTTAGGTGATATTGATTTCGCGGGTTCGCATTGTTCACAAGTTCTTATTAATCGGTTATTGGTTCACTGACATCGATATTTGAAATGTGGCAACATCGATGTTTCGGTGTTTAACGTGTGGTAACATCGATGTTAAAACATCGATGTTTCAATTTCTAACATCGATGATCATCGAACATCGATGATCATCGAACATCCCTAGTTCTGATCCCATTAGAAGAATGTCATCGTCCAGGTACCTTTGAACCTCCGCAATTGCTCTTGACAACGGGGTTCCTTTAGGCTCTATTTTGGCAATTGCTGTCCTATATATATTCCATATGGATGGTTCAGTATCTCTTGTGTTTTGTGTCGTAGCTAGTGCTGGAGTTGTTGGTTGTTTTATAACATTTTTTTGTTTCTTCAGCCTGACGGTGTGGGAATATGAAAATTTTAAATCGGGGATCTAAAAAGGTCGATAACGCAAGCGTTCTACTAAATTCCAGATTACGAAATCTTTCAGATTATTTTTTTAGCCTTTTCAAAACCACTTCGACAACATCATGCAGGCCATCTCTTAATTCCAATGTATCTAGTGTTCCCAAAAGGCTCTGCGTAATTGGAATCGCTTCTCCACCCGTGAAATATTTTTCTCCACTCATGCGCGTAGAAACTTCATCGAAGGGTTTAAGCACGCACTGCAAATCTTGAATAATTACCCAATCATTTTCTTCAAGATATGTACCTTTGAAGTTGCTGAGTGGAAAAGTGATGCAGTTACAGCCTAAGTTCAGCAATCCGCTGCAGCATATGAAATTCAGAGTTCCACCGAGTTTCCACAGATTAAGTTTTTTTGCTGTTTTCGCCTCTGATTGTTGTACTTGATATTTTACACTTTTCTGTGGCCAAAGCGCTACGTTTGTAAAAAGCTACAATGGTCTTCACTTTGGTGATCGTCTGTTACAAATTTTCAACGTTTAATCCACTCTTGACAATTAAATTTAAACAATGTGCATAACATCCAAAATGGCGCCAATTCAGCTCACTCGTGATAGCGGAAACTATATTACTCGCGTTGTCAGACACAACAATGGTTATTTTGCTTGTAATATTCCAAGTCGATGCACATGTCCTTAATTGACTTGCTAAGTTTATGGCGGTATGATGTCCATGGAGTACTTCACACTGCAGGAGAAGCGACTTCAAAATGTAGTTTTGGTCGATATAATGAGCTGTTATGGCCATATATGACTCATTTGCTATTGATGTCCAGCAGTCGGTAGCTCGGTAGTAAGGCATACACTTGTTGCTTTTTCAGTAATTTTTATTTTAGTTTCATTCAAAACTCGCTCGTACATTGATGGCAGTAAAGTGTTTGAAAGGTATTTACGACTAGGTAGTTGGTAAATGGGATTTAACCCATGAACAAATTTAACAAAGCCCTTGTCTTCTACAATGCTGAAAGGTTGAAAATCTAATATGAACAATTTCATTAGCAGTTTATTTAACCTTTCCTGTTCAGATGGTGTAATTTTTTTCTCTGAGTGAATTGAGCAATTGTAGGTTGACGAACTAAAGCCTGCTGAATAACGCGTGGTTGTGGCAATGGATGACCCTCGGCTGAGTCACCAGCAGAAGAAGCAACAACAGACGAAAGGTTTTGGGATCCTGCTGGATTAGAAGGGTCAGCTTCCTGTTCCAAAGGTTGTTTTGAAATGTGTTGGTGCATCATATTCCTCCGTACATCTTGAATTTCAACCGTAGGGTGTTTTCTTAAAATATGTTTTTTTAAATTTGTTTAGGAAGTTTTATAGGATAATTTTACCCTGCACAATTTACTGCTGTTCACCAACAGATTCAATGTCAAAATGTACCCATACGTTGGATGTTTTTATTACAGTTGAAGCCATTTTTGAATATTTAGATACAAACTGAGAACTTAACACTAAACCTTTCTTGCCTGTAAGATAGAAAAATATAATAAATAAGTCCACCCACTGTAGAACGTTACGATACACAAAGTTTTTTTTTACAAAGTACACTAAGTACTATGTAAGTACCTAAACGCTAAATGTAAACTTGGTTTTAAAATCAATGATATAGGTAACTTCACTAAACTAAATTCACTATGTATTTATAGCGAGAACACATTACACAACGTATTTCGTACGCGTACGCGATTCACGCTAAATGCTAGATAAAATAGCATTCGTAATTTGCCGTGCATTTTGTGCGCAAACGTAAACAACGCAAGTAAAAGCATTGTTTGTTGCCGTTCCGTGCAGTGTGCTGTGCACCCCCGCGCCGGTCATTTTATCGAAACTTGTAAGTTCTGTGACTTCAGCCAGTACCTATCGCCGATCGCGAAGTTTCGGAAAGTCGCACGTCACACCGCAGCGCCCGAGACAGCCCGATCCGAATCACCGAAGCTCGCGTTCATTCAAGAAATGATTTAAAAGCATTGATGGTTTTGTCGTTGTCATTTCATGATGACATGATATTAAAATATCAATGATTTTTACCTGTGACATGATATCGGACTCATCTCTAATCTGGACGTGGTCGATGAGTCGGTCTGTTTCGGCATTACCACTATGGGACCTATAGGCACTCGTAGACGCGCGGATGGTCGTCGCTGTATACGCGTAGCCAAAGGATGGACAGGTCCGAACTTTCAAGATTGCCGAAGCGTCGAGAACAGATGTCCTCTCTGACGTATACGCAAACTTCAGCCCGAGGCACAAAGGAGTGTTCCAATTTGTACCCGGGGTATGAGAGATATGAAGTATCAGCCGGAGGACACCTGCGTCTCGGTCGGCCGTCGGCCGGCTTCGCCGTCTCAAGGTCGAAGTGGACGGCGTTTAGGTTCGAGTGAAATCACCTGATGTTGCAGAAATTCACGGGCAGGGGTCATGTTGCTCAGCTCGCCCCGGGTAATTATTGTCTTGAGCGGAATCTTGCCCCCCCCCTCCCCAATACGCGGTGCAGCCTGAGAACCAACGCTCAGGAGTGAAGTAGCTTATAATTTTTTACATCTTTAATAGCTACTATTGACTATTTTTAATTATAATTTCGATGCAAGGCTACCAATAAAACAATCAATTTTACTGTATTGTGTAATTCATATAAAAATACAATTATCATTATCATATACATAATCGTGTCATTGCCAGTGAAGGCATACAAAAATTATTATTTTATAATTATACTGCAAAACACTGCGATGATTTTTAAGTACATCCATCATTTTCTGAGGCACACGTCAGTCTGATAAACGAAGCTTAGATAAAAAATAGTGCCACGTAAATTTAAAGGTACATTAGGCAAAATGGATGCTCTCGAAAATATCTCAAAATCTCAATCGAATCTTAAAAAAAACCTTAAAATGAAATGAAACTTAACTAATTTAAATGCCTGATAAAAACCCATCATATATCACTCATCAAATACCATGTTACGGTTACCGCTTATTACAAATTGTGAATTTGGCTTTACATGTAAAACTTTAAAATATTACAAGTCTAATAGAGAGTTTTGGCTTGACAATTGACACAAGCTTTGAGAACACCACAAGATTAAAATAGAAAATAAATTCTATTAGTACCCCAAAAAAGTACTGAAGAGATATTATAGTATATATTTTAAAAACGAATTGCCTTTGCGAGGAATAGAACAGACTTCATACTGGGCTAAAGCGAAACCACGCTAAGAAAACTGGCTTGGGACCAGCGGAACTAACCAACAAACAAATGTCAATAACCAGTCAAGTTCATTATTAATCCTACAACATGCCATATAACTTGAGACCACAATGGATCCAAAATACAACAAGTACCCCATCTTTCTATTTGAAAGGTAAACCATACCAACAGCCTTGAGCAATATGCATTTTATAATATCCGCGGATTCCCTTCTGACACTTAAAACTCCATATATAATTCCTTAGCTGTATATTCAGCCTTGCAAATCCATAAGATAAACTACTCTTATTGGCTCTATTCATCACAACTTCTTTTCAAATAACAAACATCATAATTAGAACTTGACTGCACGCAATGTTACATATCTAGCGAAGGCACATACTAACACAGAAATTAACCTAACAAATTTACACAGCTGGTCCCAGCGAGAATCTTAACTACACGCGACAAACTAGCAAGCTCTGTCAGTTTTACCACAGCCCTGAGGAGAAGCCACCCGGTGGTACACGGACGCGCTTTGGAGGTTCAGTCTTAGGTGGTTCTGCCTTGGCTGGTTCCGATTTGGGTGTTTCCATCTTGGGAGGCTCATTCTTTATTGGTACATCAGGAGTAACAGCTGGTGATACGACTTCTGGTTGCGGCGCTTCCTTCGGAGATTCCTGACAGTTTCCATTTTGGCTCGGCTCAGTCGCACCATTGGTGGGCTTCGTTGGTTCTTCTGGTTTAGGCTGAACTGGAACTACAATGTAATTAAATTATTAAAATATAAAGATTTTAGCCCCCGGCGTTAAGGATTACAAGGGTAACAACCTGTCATTTTTGTGGCACAAAACTAAAGTGACCAACAAACTTACAGTTCACCTGATTAAGTACTTTTTTTTTACATACACACGGTCCACCCGATGGTAAGTGGTTGCTGTGGCCCATCGACATCTACATATATCTTCGATTACGAATCAAAATGCAGATGCGTTGTCACTCGTGAGGACTAAGATGGAGTGCCTCGTTTCCCGTAAAAAGGGTCTCCGGTTCTCTACACTCACCATACGAAACACAGCAGCTTCAAACTACTATTTTACGGTGGTATAAGAGCATAGTCCTTCCCCGGACGAGCCGATCCATTGTATTACAACTATACCAGTAATATAACTGCATCATGGCTCTACCACTACTGCAATCCATAGACACCTCCAGCCAAATTTTAAAAGAAAGTTGTCACCTCTGAGCACAAAGATGTAATGCTTAACAACCCGTAATTATACTGGCCGTCTATACCTGTAGACCGGAACACAGCAGACAATCAAACATTGCTATTTAGTGGCAGAAAAGAAGTCTTAACCGTACAATAATGAATACAATGGATGTATGTATGTAGTTCAGGACAGTTTTGTTGTGATCAAATAGGAGTCTGGACTTAGAAAAATTTACTTGATTTGCTTGCGAGCACACAACTCTTCAAGATATATTCTTCTTCCCCGGCTGGGAAGCTAAGGCATTATAATTTTCTTACTGTAAATATTTTATAGCGTGATTTTGGGTGGTATTTTACAGTAACAATCAGTGCTTATTATATTGAGACTACATAATCATTGAGAATGAAGGGCCATCATGGCCCATTTCATCTTGTGATGTTAGAGGTGATAATGGGAAATGCTTATACTGTAGATAGATGGCGATGGCGACCACCGTTTACGCCAGACTTAAAATACCAACACCAACGTCAGACAGCAACGTCAAAGGTGCGAGACTTCTGATACAGTAGCACCTCCTCGTCAATCCATCTGCGAAACAGAGAGGCAAAATCTCTATATGACAGGGAGGCCCATAACCATGATGAGCAAGGCAGTATGAATCCACCCTTGTACTATAAAAAATCTTTTATATATTAATCTATCTTATCTATCTCTCTTGATATCCTTGTTGGTCTAGTGACTGTAAGTACGGTTACTAATCATGAGGTCCCAGATTCAGTCAAAATCAGTTACTGTGTTTTCTGTCAAGAAACTTTCAACAGCAGCCCGGAGTTAGAAAGTTGGCAGTGCTTCATCCCAGCGCATCGGAAAGGACGTAAAAGCGTTGCTCCTGCGCTTGCTTCTGCGCCTGATTTCTCTCAGGTTGGGTCGGATTTCAGTCCCATCAGATTGATAGTGAGAGCACCGAGAGTAAACCGAGAGTATACCTGGGCAGACGGTTAGTCTCCGATCAGACTGGCTGTCAAGAACATTTTTATTATCCTGATATCCTAAAATCTATCAGTTTCATTTTGTATTATAAGTGCCCTGATCATACCTGTAGCATTAGGTCCAGGGCGTCTTCCAAAACGTTGGGGCTCCGGCTCGGAGCCAAAAATGTCAGTGTGACCACCGCCGGGCGGGCGAAGCACCCTGCTGGATAGTCGGGGTTCGTCAGAGAGACCAACGCTGAATGGAGTAGAAGTCATTTTTATCTGAAAGAAAGTGAAAGTATATGTATAGAGAGCCGAACTTTAGAATGAAAATTTCGTTATCGCCATTAGTCCTGCTAAACATTAACCTCTCCCACATTCGGGAAGATTCTGTTTAAGTGCAAGCCTTACATGAATCTTTATATTTTTAACATGCTTTTATTCGATTAGTGTGTATCTATGTAATGGAATCTTTCATGTGCAATTTTCACTAACTTGTAGACCAATTGACTTCAAAATTTGCATCAAGTATTGTATAATATTGAAGACCGATCACAATACAATAATTTAATAATTTTATTTTAATATCCTGATCAGGATAAAATAAAATAATTATCCCGATCATCACATCTCATTGATTCCTGTTGATTCGTGTTGTTTAAGTGTTTTTAGTCTTATATTATTCAAAATAATAAGTCTAAGTATTTAATAAAGTTTTCTAAAGACTATGAATAAGTTTAATCTTTTTTTTGCAAGCGAAATCTATTATTACAACCATACCATACACAAGTCTGCTGCTAAACATAAGCCCCACCCAAGAAATGCCAAAGCTCGGTCATGAGCCACCTGCATCTCTTACCAGGTCGTCACTCCATCTAGTGGGGGGCCGCCCTACACTTCGCCTACCGGTAAGAGGCTGCCACTTGAGAACCTTTCTTCCTCATCGTTTGTCGGTTTTTCGAGCTATATGGCCGGTCCATTGTAACTTCAGCAGATCCGTTGGGCTATCCAATCATATAGTTCAAACAATCGACAACCGATGAGGAAGAAAGGTTCTCGAGTTGGTAACTCTGGTTCTAGTGCCAATATCCTTATTTATAAGTCTATCACGCAGAGTAACCCTGAGCATAGCCCTTTCCATAGCTCGCTGAGCGACTTTGAGCTTCGTCATACGGAAATACTATTTGAAAATTAATAACCTCTAACAAGTGCTGATTCAAACTGGTTGCCAGAGCGTAACTAAGAAACCTTAGAAAAAGCCCTCAGTCGTTGAAGTAAAGGGGCTCACGAATTTTAACAGACTTCCAAATAAACGAAGTTTTATATTCGGCGCGTATTTATAATTTATGTTTATTGATTTCTCGGAAACGGCTCAAAGGATTTAATGTTGATTATTTTATTAAATAAGCTATGCATCAAGGATGCTCCCATTAAAATATGAAAGTTGCAGCCCTAAGGATGGAAAAATGGCCGATAAAGTTGTTATTATAACTATTAAGGAGACATTCTAGAAGTTACCTTGAGCCTGTGATATTGTAGTCCAATCAAAAAGATGAAAAAAATTCAAAGTATAAAAAGAATAAAACAATTTCCACATAACAACTCGTGGTAACTCCAGTAAAGTGAAAATTATTGTGTTCTGTTTAGTTGATGAAGTCACATTCAACTTTAACAAAATCAATATGCCATACTGACGAATAACTTCAAAGAATTAGTGTGACACGGTACGATGTAGGTAACGATAACAGTCATTATAATCTTATCGTTCTATTGAACTATATTGAAAACAAAGCGGAAGCAATGGGTCGAACATATGCGATATTTTTACAAATATAGAATATGAGCTAAGACTGTTGACTGTTTTTGTTAGGAGTCGCAATACAAAATTGTATGTCAATGCCTTTAGCCTATCAAAAGCTAAACAAAGGCCTCCCAGTAGATCGCCTGGCAAGGGGATATTTGCCAAAGCTGCCACGCTTAGCAGGTGTGTTGGCAACAAAACTGTATAACAACGTCTATAGCTCTTTTAAACGACCTCTCCCAGTCGAGCCAACCGTGTCATGCTACAATCATAAAACAGCTGCAGCATATCTACCACATACTTATTTGCAGCTACTGATGGCCGATCACTAAGGGCATTAAATGATAAGGCATGACTTCAATATATACGATAATAGCTTGCCAGGCAGGCTGAAGTTATTCAGCCCCTTTCGACGTCCCTTTGTCTCATGTCCTATTAAAATTAAAAATCCTTAAATTCACAAATACCTTGTGGGTCACTAATGGTCAAAAAACTATCCTATATCTCAAATTTGACCAAACTGCACACGGTGTGCAAATTTGACTATAACCGTTTAAGTAGTTTAGGACTCCATCGCGGACAGACAACGTGACATGTATATATATATATATATATATATATATATATATATATATATATATATATATATATATATATAATAGACGTCATACGGTACAGCACGCTTAGTTTTAGTTTACCTAAGCGTGGTGTAATATTGGACGCTTCATGGTTAGATCGAACGACGATCAGCGCAAGAATGTATTCACAGAATACCAGCGTCGTCGGGCCACAGCATCCACTTACCATCAGGTTTACTATGTGCTCGTTTATCAACCTTGTCCTATTAAAAAAACCTGCGGTTGCCAACCCACACGCTAAGCGTAACAACTTTGGCAAATATCCCCCTGCCAGGCAATCTACTGGGAGGCCTTTGTTCAGCTTTTGATAGGCTAAAGGTATTGACATACAATTTTGTATTGCGATGCCTAACATAACAGTCAATGGTCTTAGAACCCGGAACTGAGTTTAAAATAACATACTTAATATCGAACGCAATCGTACTAAAATTAAAGTCAGCATATTACCCCAAAATTAGAAGCCCAGTTCAAACCCGGAAGATTGAATTCGATCCTCAACGAAGCGTTCCACCACTCATAATTAAACGTTAACTATAACTAATAGCAATATCTGAAAATTAATCAGAATTTGCACGCAACTAGCCAATGACCTACTTAAAAATGCAAAGCATAAACTATTTTTTTACTGACCAAGTTGGTATAGTCTATGAAGTATACCACTTTCTTCGCGTCGAGATAAACCCGGAACTAATTATGATCAGTTAAACCAAATGTGCTCTGGCATCACTGAAATTCTAAATTACCTAGTTATCTTCTCTTAACTCATCATACGAAATTCGGCAGTATTGGTTCATACGTGGTAGAGCCATGCTGCAGCCATATTATGGTTGTAGCACGAGTGGGCTGTCTAGAACAGGGATAGACCACGCTCTCACGGAATACCAGCTTAAAATGGGAGCCCAATGCTGCTGCGTTTCGTATGGTGAGTGAAGGGAACCGGAGAGCCTTTTTACTAGACACAAAGTATTCCATCTTAGTCCTCAGGCGTGACAACGCATCTTCATTTCGATTTTTTTAAAACGTTACCGTTTCTCCTGTATCGTGGGGGCAGTTTACAAACACAAATCGCACAAGGACAAACATCCAGACCCGGAACAATTACTTGTAGGCCATACAAATACTTGTTTCACGCGGGATTTGAACCCGCAGCCCCCAGCGCAGCCACTCATTGCTAAGTCAAAAGATAAATGTAGATATCATGGACGACAGCATCCACTAACCATCAGGTAGACTCTGTGCTTTCACCATTATTTAACAAAAAGTATGATGCTGCTATTTTACGCCAGTATTCTGGCTGACGTGGTCCTTTAGGGTCGAGTTGACCCATTCGTGCTGCAGCGCATTAAAGCATGTACAACAAACTCTAGAGCATGTATTAGACGTTTAAACAAGTCATAAATAACGATTAACCTACAGAATTAAAAAAAACTCAATCTGATATTAATGTAATTGCTATTCCTATCTGATTCAAAACAAACAACATCGTTTAAGCAACAACATAGTTTCGGTAATCTTGATACGCCTACAGACCCATTACGAGCGAGTAATTACAGTGTTCTGTAAAATCGATCCCCATGTTAGGCACACTAGTCCTCAATCTAATGCCTACGTACGAAAAGCACACAATGGGTTCTAATATCAATATTTCATATTGTATGCGCCGGGCTTATGGAAATTCAAACCATCCACTATAATATTATTTAAACAAATTAATGTATGTAATGTACGACAAAATTTCGTTTCAAATAACACGTTTTTTTTTTCACTTTAATATTTAAAAAGCGTTACCAATATAATAAAAATGTTCTAGATTGTAAGACTTCAAAGTCTTTAAAGTTCTTCTACGACAACATTATCTGAGGGCAATTACTGACATTATTTTTTCCTTTTTCCTTTTTTTCTACTTCAAATATTTATCTTAATATATATAAATTATGTGTCACGTTGTTTGTCCGCGATGGACTCCCAAACTATTTAACCGATTTTTATCAAATTTGCACACCGAGTGTATTTTGGTCCAACTTGAGTGATAGGATAGTTTTTTTGCCCATGAGGATTTTTAATAGGAAATGACAAGGCGTCGTCGAAAAGGGCAGAACAACGTCTGCCTGGCAAACTAGTTTTGTATTATATATGTGTATGTGTATGTATGTATGTATGTATATTTATGCTATATGTGTGTATATTTAAATGTGTTGTGTATGTTATGTTCTGTTCATATGTTACATTTTATTTATGTATTACGTTTCGCATCTGCCATCAATTGACTGGCAGAGAATGCCACATGTGGCATTAAGTCCGCCCTGTGTACACTTTAGCTTAAGGTGTTAAAAATAAGACTACTGCCTCGAAGTCCATCCAGGTAGTATCCAGTGATTACACTGCTGTGTTCCTGTCTAAAAGATATATAAAAAGCCTGTAAAACCAGACTATGGGCAACATATCTATAGCGTTCATGTTTGTGACTGGCTGCAGGTTTCCATTTGCTACCACTAGCCACTTACCGTCAGGTGGACTCTAAGTTCTTATATCACTTCACTTTCATAAAAAAAATTATATTACATTTAAACAGGAAATGGTCGCTTAAATTATAGGATATAGATAAGAAACCAATTGGGCGCAAAGCCCGACTATGTCAACTAATGCATATAAATATAATATTAAGATCACAATAGATATCCTCCACCTTCCCTTAATCCCCCCATACACCCAGCTAATAACTATTACAGTGTGTCACGTACGCTTTTAGATCTTGATAACAAAATAGGTCGATTGTTATTACTGTCAGTTATTAATCTTTACATTTTATAATTCTTCTGTCCGTGTGTATGTGACTGAAAATT